GGCCGGGCATCAAGCCAGTACACCTGGAACCATGTCAGAAAGCGCCCAGATCCAGCTTCGCAAATCAGTCGTGTGAACTCGAATAACCCCATCTGCCTATCCTGCGAATCCCGGAAGTGGTCTGCCCAGTTCCGAGCCGTATAATCGAGGAAGGGATATTTCTGGAGATATCCATCAATTGACCCCCCATTAGCGTCACCACGAGCAGTCATAGACAGCGGATCGATTTCAAACTCCTCTAGCGAAAGATAGGAGATACAAATGTCAGCCATTATAAAGTTAGATTCCTTGGGACACAGGGTATACTGCCAATTTCCCTGGCCAGGCGAAGGCCCCTTTATCAGGAACTCCCTTGCGGTTTGATGAACAAGGTAGACCTTTGAATCAATAACCCGCACGAAAAGCCCGCACAAATTTTTCACTGCTTTTTCACATCCACCAGGAAGGTCACTAAGGTCTCTAGTTGAGTTGTGCCCCCGCCCGATTCTGAACGCGACGTTCATTTCTTGAAGTGAAAGAGGCCTTGAAGCTGCTAGCACTATATTCAGGATTCGCCGGGCTTTGTCGGGGTATTTGCTGTTGTTAAGAATCTTGGTGTATAATTCTACCAGATTGCGTGGTACAGCGGAAGCAATATCAGCAAACACCTCCCGTGAGCCATCCTCGCTATCCTTCAAAATATCCAGAACAAGAGAAACCCAAAGGAATGTCCGATCGGCAGAAGATTCGAGGAGGCTTCGCAAATATCCCAACCCCCCAAGCTGTCCCCAGTATGACTCTAGGCTCTTTATGCCCTCATCAATGATGAGAGTAACATCGGCAGAAATAGCGCCCACTTCATCCTCCCCTTTCAATCTAATCATCATTGTGGGTGAGTCAAGTTCTCTCTCAATTCTGTGGTACGGGCGACCCGTAACAAGGAATTTCAAAGATATATCGGATGTCTGTTGTGAACTAGAGAGCCGGGTTAGATGACGGATAAGCGCTAGAAGCCCCTCACCGCACTCGTCCAAGGCATCTACTACGCAAACTACATCGCCGCACCCCCCCTCCGCTACCGCCTTGACCAAAATATTCCACAACGTATCCACCTCCTCCGTAAACCTCTCGCCTTTAGCCAAAAACTCTTCCTCGGCATGTACATAGAGGGAGTTTCGCTGTGAAAAAAGCTGATGTATTATGGCGCAAAGGGCAAGCGTCGCACTTCTCTGTTCCTCGCTGTCGTCCTTGAAAAAGAAATAGCAAACGATAGCGTCCGTTTGGACTTTCAGATGGTTTACGAGGAACGAAGCAATGACGGATTTTCCGCAACCCGGGTCTGCCGACAGCCAAAGAAGACCAGATTTTTCTTTCCCCAACCAGTCCTTATATTTTGGATGCTCTGTAACCCAGGTGCATGTCCCTTTGGTGGGCTCACGAACTCGATTTCGGTGCGACTCGTACGCGGACCTGTACAGGCATTTCATAATTTCGGCGTACCTCACGGTTGCCACCACGGTGCCGCAACGGTGGTAAATGTGGGTCATGTTACCGGAGTTGATGGTATTGTAAGAACCGCTGTTCCCACTATAATCGCCACGAACATTGATGTTGGGTGCTGAGCTAGAACCATAGCTATTGATATTTATGATTAGCAACACCAAGACCCACATATTCCGGGGACATCCCCTGAGCACACCTCAGCAGTGAGGATTCGCCGCTAGCGGGAATGCTTGATTGTTGATTATCCATACGATCGATTGGTGCTCAAGTTGCGAGAGGCTGCGTATTATCGATGAGGGATACCGAATGTGTTTTTTGATTATCGCAGTGACAATTTTCAAGCGGGTATGGAGGAATGGAAGGAACAGAAAAGTTGGGGAGCGTAGAGACCAGCCTCACCCCCAGAAGGCAACAGCCTCCACAAAACCCCGCACAATTCGTCCCACTGTCGATCCCCGCCGATCATCCCCTCGAACCGCCGGAGTTACCTGGCGCCAAGAGGAAATCACTGCATCAGGCCAGAATAGGTTTAGTTTTAACTTGCTAAAGGAATTCCAAACACCAGTAAACGAGATCCGTTATCGGTACTTCAAAATTGTTCAAGATAATAGTATGAAAACACTATCCTTCTCAGGAACTTCTATCTCTATACAATACAGTACCCGTAGGTTAGAAAATTAGGCAAGATGCCACGGAACTGCTCTTTGAGGTTAACCGGCTAAACGGATTCGCATCTCTGTTTTTCCGGCCGGGTTGGTACTCACGAGAGATCACGGTATCGTACCGTACCCCGCAAGAAGCATCCAATCATATCAGCCGGTGAGGTAGACCTCCCAACCCCTCCACCCAAGCACACCACCGGTACTATTCCTAGTACAAGTATACTCACGAGTACTCGCACCCAGGTATGGTGGACAATAGCGAGACGGACAGGAGATTCAAAACATCAAAACATTCTTATCCTTCCCAGCATGATCCCAACCAAATAAAGCACTTTTTTAGCTGTGACGGCATTGAGCGCCCAGAGCTAAACATTCCTGTGTGTCTCATCGCCAGCCCCCACAACTTACTCAAGTCGCCGGATTGAAGTCGCGTTTCCGTTTGAAGTATAATGTATCTTGGCATGGTAATGGGTGCTGTTTCGTAAGCAAAATTTGAAGTGCCGGACAAGAGTAGTCTTGTCATCGATTTCCCTTTGAAAACAGTGATCGCACTCCTTCTCTTCTTATAATTCATTTTCTTATATTTATTATTTTATTAGTCATGAGCCTGCAAGACATGAAAGAGCATACCGTACGAGGTAGTGACTCTTTTGCATATTTCTGACCCATTTTCAGTACTTTATGATACTCGCATCCGGTACCTTGAATGCTGCCTATGAAACTAGCCCCATTGCAATGCCAAGAGGCATTATACCCCTAAAGGAAACGCGACTTCATTCCGGCGACTTGAGTACTGCACTCTCACAAGTACCAAATTGGCCTCAAGATGACATTCCTATTAGTGTGCTATACACTCAAACCCCGCTGTCCCGGATCTCTATGATACGGATACCTCGCTGTCCCGTATGAAATGTTGTGAATTCCAAAATTTTCCACAGCAAAACTTGGCTCGTTGTTCCGGATAACCCGCTGTACCGGACAGATCCTTTAGATTTTGGCCGTCCGGGGTAACTGGGTGTGAGTGTACCGTAACTAAATGAAAGCCTAACCTTACACCGGTACATGCACCCTCAATCGCATCCGGACACCAATGCAAGGGATAATTTTTCAATCTGCGCTACCCTAAATACCATTGCGGATGCCCTAACTTCAGGGCGCAAGAGTGAGACTTTTCTCTTTGTGCCACTACATAAGCCTTATATAAACCTACACTATCTTTCAATGTCGACGTGAATCTTCTACAAGTTGGGAAGCCCCAGATCCCTCTCGCCATACCCCTCTGCTCGAAGAGACCCCGCAGTCAGCCACCGATAAAACTACCAGACTCCGGGCTCCTGCTGCAAAGAGAATGCCCTTCGGGTAAGTGAATGAACTCGAGTTATAAGCTAATCGAGGAAACACAAGATAAAGAGGAAAACTTACCGCCGAAGACCGCGATAACCTTCTAGCGCCCCGGAAGCCAGCACGAATTGGAAAGAAGTTCTGAACGCCTCCGGGGGGGTTCCAGGCGTTGATGATCGTAGGGTATAAAATATCAGGCTGGCAGGACTTGAACACAACAGCGATACCTGAGAATTTCGATATTTCATAGCAGAATATAACTGTAATAGGATTTATAGACGGTATGCTAGATATTGAATCGAACCAGCATCTTGAGCTAAGGTACCTTATGAACTATCCCAGGGGGTATAAAGTCTCATTTCTAGACATCACCGTCTAGTCCCCTCACTCATCCAGATCCCGCGAAATGCCGCAGGTGAAAAATTTCAACCCATCCTTGCGGGAAAGTTCCTTCCTTTGGAAGAAGGGGGAGCAGAGACGAAAGGCAAGTATGTTGGGCACCAATCATACATAGTTTCTACCAACATCTCAAATATCAAGTACCAGCACCTACCATACACGCCCCACTTCTAAATTACCATCATAAACAGTCACCACCCTACCCTCTGTTAACTCAGCATTAGAAATGAACTTGCAAAGGTGTGAACTTATTATACCCACACACCAATTCATGATACAAGTATATAACACGAACCCCCCCAAATCCACTCATCCACTCATTCACTAACTTTACGCAAACACCGTGATCGGGACACGACCGAGTCCAGATCTTCAAACTCCTGATCAGGCATTAAGTCATGTTTCCATGCCGATATCGCGACCGGCGTGCCAAACCTTCCCGACATGCACAAAAGTACTTCACGAATGCATACTCGTATCAAACCGCTTATGGCAAGACCCCTATCATACAATTGACTATGCACCATCACAAGGAAAGAAAGGAGAGGAAACAAGACACCTCCATAGTCCAACCTAGCCAAGGATTATTATCATTATTTTATTATCATTATTTCCGGGAGCGAGTGTCCTCCCTACATCTAATCAAATTAAATCTAGCTACTGGCAGTTATACCTCGAAAAAGTTCTCAATTATGCCTACGGTAGTAGCTTGTTTTTTTTTTTTTCCACCGATGGGAAGGGGGGGGGGGAATAAACGCCTGCTATAGTTGTTCGAGGATTTCTGGGACTATGATACAGTTGCACACTCCGGGATAGCATTGCTTCATTCCAAAGGTACAGTACCATAGTATCACACATTGACGGTAGTGCCGTAAGCTACGATGCTCATGCCATAGTGGTTGTCTATACCGCCGTAAACTAGATCCTAGGTGGATGGTCACTTTAATATCATACCTACACACGCTACTAATCCCTACCGTGCTCCGCTCCACCCTGAAATCCAAGCATCATACCCAGGCAATGTCCCTTTTCCAAATTAACCACTAGCTAGTTATAGAATTTAATACGCTAGATTCAAATATGAGATATAAAAAAAAGGTGTTTTAAGTTATGATACTACAAATGCTTCCACCCATTGCTCACCAGAACGTGCATTTCATCAATCAAGCAATCAACCCCGGGCTCGCTCCCTCCCCACTCCCGAACCCTTCCCACCACCTTCCCATCTCCCCAGGGTAGTCCCAAGACGGCCGTCACGATCCCAACAACCCCACCCCAAATCCTCTCCCGTTTCCCCGGCCACCCAACCCCATGCCGAATCAGCTCCCACCCCTTTGCTTTATACGCCACTCTAACATTCGGATTCAGCCAGACGCCCTTGTCAGATAGGGGGTTATCGTAGTGTATAAGACAGCACTCGCTCCCTTCAACGTGCCGTTCCGCCAGTGAGTCGGACACACCGCGGAAGCGGAGGTTAGAAGGCGGCAGGAAGGGCGCTGCGTCGAAGACCACCATTCCGTTCCAACAACTACGGACAGGGACGGGGGCGCTCGCGAGAAGAGCAGCGCGAGAGGGACCGGACGCAAAGAACGGGTATGACAGGCTGGCGGCGGAACGCCCGTTAATGTCGCGGAGGGCAAAAGTGTCGTAGAATTTGGTACTATCGAGAAAGTCCAGTGAGCAGGCAGCAGAGTATTCGCCATTCCGGGTGCTTAATAGATTTAATGCGTCTTCGACCTGTCACCCCTCCACAAATTAGTTCGCGGCCAGCGCATCCGGCGAATCAGAGCTGGACGGACAGTAAAGATAACGTCATTCAGAAATAACAACCTATCAAAGCTCCCATTCTTCCCTCCCCCCCGATCCTGCTGCAGCTCCAACAGTGGCTCGAGAACCCTGTTCCTGGCCCTAGCCAAGTACGGTATCCTCCTCAACTCTTTCCCCCCCCTCGGCGTGACAATCCACCCCTCCTCTCCGACCCTCGGGGTCCGCGAGATCTCATCCGCGTGCGTCGTCCCCTCAAGAATCACCCTCCGCTCAACGCCCAACTTCCCCAATCGCTCGTCGAGTTCGCGTAGCGCGCCCTTGGTATCATCCCAGCTGCCGGACTCGTACAGAGAAAAGTACACGTTCTCCACGCCGAGGCGGACGATGAGCCGCGTGACGGCGTCGGACCAGTGCGAACGGAGAATGGATTCGGAGTTCCAGTGGTTGGAGGCTATGAAGATGCGACCGGGGTCAAATGAGGGGGGAAGGGGGGGAGGAGGTGGAAGGGGGCGGGGGAGGGTGGACAGGTTGAAGAATAGGAATGCGCATGTTAGGAGTAGAAGGAGTGTTAGACGAGAGCGGCGGCGGATCATAATGGAGCAGCGCAGGAGCCAGTGGTGGTGGTGGTGTGCGAGCGCATGGACGGGTGAAACATGCAGAGGGGCTAAAGTTAATACGCTAGTGATAATGCCGGTGGTGATGATGCAAATACCCGTACTAAAGTAGATGATTTAGTATGATGCTGGCAGTGACCTTCCGGAAAATCGATGAGATCCTCCGCTCCATCGTGTCACACGGTCACGGGACCCAAAAATTACGGGATCCGAAAACTACCGCACCGGACCCAAATCCTGCCAATCGGCGGTTCGTTAGCTTTACGGTAGGATCTATGATGGGCTGGAATTTCGCGTATATCCCTAATCGCTCCATCAATGCCCACCCCATGCAAAAGCAATTTGGCGATACGGCATGTGCCAGATAGGCATGCATAAGTTAAGTGGGATCGCAGGTAAACCTTATCAATTGGGTCCACAGATCTAACCGCCTACGACTTCTGCGACCCGGTTCTCAATTTACCGGTAAGGTGCCGTAAGGTTAGGGTTAGCCAATGACCACACAACCACTTCTGTCGTAAGATTCCCGCGATGATGTCAACTGCTACAATATAAACATTCGTCTAGAGGATAGGATCTCATTGTATTACTAGAGGTCTAAAGCATTACTAAACTAAAAAGCTGCTGATTTAATGATACAAATTGAACCACCCGCCTGTAAAAAATAGCACAAACCGGTCAACAGAGCTCTCCGAATTCAGAAAGCCTGATCAGAAGGCTTTAAGGGGGAAAAATGAAAGCTGTTGCTATCGAGTAGCGATGCTGGTCCAAGCAATCCCCTTGTCAGAAGGCATCGAAAACAGATATGATAAGGCCCCTTCTATGTGAGGATATCCCAGCTATAATACATACACAACTAGCCCAAAGTGTTTGAAAGACGGATGGAATAACAATAAAAAAGCTATACCATAGAATACCACCAACTACCCCCTGATGGGCTTTATTTTCTCCCTCCGCTGAGTACAGGTGGGACAAAACCATTTGCCCGGAGGCTCTTTTGTCAAGTTTACGCAGGCTAAGATAATTGGTCAGCGAGCAATTTGGACAAGGAGGGCGAGAAATAGGGGGGACGACATACCCCAATGGAACCACTCGTATGGGCAGTCCCCATCATCGCAGGCAACCATGTTTCCATAAGACACCTGCTGACAAGTACAGTAGAGCCTTTTATCCTCACCACCCTCCTCATCTAATTCATCGTCGTCGTCATCATCGTCGTCATCTTCAGAAAGAACCTCCCTCTTAGGTGGATTCTTGCGCTTCTTGATGTTCACATTAGGGGTGCTGGACCTCCTGGTTTGGCCTAGTGGGTCCGGCCGGATCCCAGGAGTTGAGGGATGCGATGCGAGATTGGAGGAGATTGCAGGGATTGTGTTAGGGGGCGCCGTCAGCCGCCGCCGCTTATTTTCGTGAGAGTCGCGAGGGGTAGACACATTTTGGGGAGCGGGGAATGCAACCGGTGTCGCGGCCGGCGTGACGTGCGCTGGGACAGTGGCTGGGGTGGGATTGGCGGTAGGGTGCTGAGAGGGGGTACGCGCAATGTGCATTGGAGATGCGCGCATCGAAGGCGGGCGCTGTCCAAATGCGGAGAGGGGGAGGTTCTTGGGATATGGGGATGGGAGGAGGGAATCCGGGGGCATGAGGCCATCGCGGGCAAGGTCGGTGATCCTGGCATCGAGACGTTTCATATGTTTCTCAACCTGTTGACGGTTAGTAAAACAGTCCTACGCGTAAGCAGAGATGGAATACTACCAGATCATCAGCCTTGCGTGCCAATAAGACCTTCTCGTCTTGAATCTCTTTCACTTTCTCGTATGCCTTCATGATCTGTTCAATATACATTGCCTCTTTGGGGTGTTCCACGTGACTTCCATGCATTTTTATATGTTTTTGCAGGCTGTTGTCACGTGCCAAGGCGCTATCTCGGTGTTCCTTCAAAATACGATCCTTCGCCTGGATTTCCTCATAGATGTGGGCAATCTCGGCCGGTAGATTGGCGACTTGCAAGATTAGCTTTTTGTCCGAAAAGAAAAGGGGAACCAAGGGCTATTGGTACCATCGTGGATGAACTGTTCCAACACGGTGGCGGCGTCTTCAGCCATGATTATTGCAGGTTTTGCGCCGGAAAAAAAGGGCGATGGGATAAGCTGTCTTAGGGGAACAGAGGGAAGGTATATGGCGGCATGAAGAGCCCGCTGGGGGTTGAAGAGACGTTGGGTATCGGGGGGCGGGATGCGACGACGTTAGGGTTGTAGTGAGAGTAAGGGTGAGGCTCAAACCGGGCCATGTTAGCTACGCTGTCATGTGATTAGATAAAGCTTGGCGTAACCTGACTATGATACGGTACTGGGAGCCTATGGTCGCTAATTGCTCTCAACCCCCAAACCTCCAAACAGTGCACGGTCTACACGCAAAGATCTCCTGCTTTTGCCTTTAATACAACACCATCTCCTCTCTTTCCCGGAGCATTACGAATTCGCAGAGATCCTCTCGCCAAGCGTGGTCAATCTTGCCGACGGTCGGACCCTGGCAACCTTAGCGGCCTGGGAATGTCAATCGTCCAAACCTACGACTCGTGGGGTCGAAATGGAAACTCCACCATATCTCTGGACGCCAAATCAGCAGCGAGCATGCCCGTGCTAGAACTAGCGCCAGGACTGAAAGCAAAGGCAGGTCCATCGCAACCACTCATTCTTGGAGTCAATCCCCAGGTTAACATGTTTCAGGTCTCCTACCACCACAACGCCATGGCCGAAAATCACCACTTTGGCGCGGCTCACCCCATGAAACCATGGAGGCTCACATTAACGAACCAATTAGTCCTTGGCTACGGGTTGCATGAACATATGGACACTTATTCCACGAGGCCGGCAAACGAGGACGAGCTCAAGGACTTTCATGGGGATGATTATCTGGAGTTCTTGAAACGGTGAGATTCGGGTCGAACTCTCCGGACCAGGTTCACACTCAGTTTTCGTGGACCTAGCCCGAGCGCTATACTGACCTTGCCGCCAGGGTAACGCCTCACAACACCCAAGAATTCGCCAACGATCTCTCAAAGTTCAACATCGGCGACGATTGTCCGATCTTTGACGGCATCTGGGATTACTGCAGTCTGTACGCCGGCGCATCCCTCGACGCAGCCAAAAAGCTGATTAACCACCAGTCCGATATAGCGATAAACTGGTCCGGAGGACTTCATCACGCCAAGAAATCGGAAGCTTCGGGGTTCTGCTACATCAACGACATCGTCCTGGCCATACTCCAACTCCTCCGATACCACCCGCGGGTATTGTACATCGACATCGACGTCCACCATGGAGACGGTGTGGAGCAAGCCTTCTTCTCGACGGACCGAGTAATGACACTCTCCCTGCACAAATACGACAAGGACAACTTCTTTCCCGGGACGGGCAATTGGGACGACATCGGAGGCGGCGCAGGTAAACACTACGCGTTGAACGTGCCATTGAAGGATGGCATCGACGACGAGTCATATGTTCGACTATTCAAGCAGATTGTAGAGCCCGTTATAGAAAAGTACTGCCCGACGGCCGTTGTCCTCCAATGCGGAGCGGACTCGCTGGGGAGCGATAAACTCGGTTGCTTCAACCTCAACATCAAAGCCCACGGCGCGTGCGTAGAATTCGTCAAGAAGTTCGGACTGCCGCTGCTCGTCCTCGGCGGAGGTGGCTACACCCCGCGCAACGTATCACGGCTGTGGACCTACGAAACAGCGTACACACCCTCCCACATCCCCATGGCAAACGCGAGCACTAACACGTTCGCAGCATCTGCGTAGGCGCTGAGATCGAAGACGACCTGCCGGCACGGTCGCCGTACCGGGAGTATTTTGGCCCAGACTACAAACTCCACCCACCCCTTAGCAAGGAAGGGAAGTACGAGAACAAGAACTCGAAGAAGTACCTGGAAAGCATGAAGACGAAGATCATGGAGCACCTGCGCTTCATCGACGGAGCGCCGAGCGTGCAGTTGCAGGAGATTCCACCGGATCTGGACAATGTCCGCAGCGAGTTGATCAAGCAGGAGGAGGATTAGGCCACGGCGATAATGATGAGATGCGGGCGCCACAGGAGGGAGGTGATTGTTTTCCCTCCTTTTTTTCTCCTTTTTTCTTTTTCGGTTTTTTTGTAACTTAGCCTTGTTTGCTCACTATACTTGGGGTACCGCTATCCGGATTCGTGTTTTCCATCCTGTATATCGATCACGTGTTTGCAGATTAAATGAGATGGGTTGCGCTATGATACCGCAGGTACTGTACTGTACAATTCAGGAAAATAGGAGGGTTTTCAAACCCAATGGGCTTATTTCCTCTGCCATAATTAGCAAAACCCTTAACCTATCCAATCCAACTCCACCCATATGATTGATACGTACTCGAGTACAGCACGAGTTCCCCAGCACCTACCGGTATAGTATGATACCACACCATAGCCCGTCCACCACCGCACCCGACACATTATCACCCCCCGCACGCATCCACACATAATTCAGTAAACACCCACATCCCACCATGGACCCACCACCAACTCCCAAACATACAACGCTCGGACAATACGAGTACGACATGATACCGCACAGTACAATAACCGGTATAAGATTCGACAACCCCCATCTCAACCCGCATCCCACATACCGGTAGCACACATCCATACATAGATACATAGACACACTAGCACCCACCCCAACCCGACACCGCACGCAAAAGGCAGTCCCGTCCCGTAGATCAAACGAACCGACGGCGAATTACGACATTTCAAGTTTTCCAAAGCGTCCGATAGTTACGGTACCACAACTGCAGTACCGTACTGTACAGTAAAGCCGTACCGACCCGAAACCCCCCCGACGACGACGACGACGACGACTCCGGTTAGTACGATATCGTAATGGGTGGAACTAACCAATAGACTCCCCCGATCGTGAGCTAAGGTTTTTTACAGTTCGCACTGGCACTCGAGCCGTCGGCTGGTTTGATCGAGCTCACTATTGTAGACTGTTACCATAAATAAGTTGGGCCTCCCGTCGATTCTGTGCTTTTGGGTTTAGTCTGTTGCGGTTGGTTTGTGGTTTACGGTACCTTTATCGGGTTTTTTATTCTGGGCTGATACGGTACTAGATATACCTGTAGGCATTCGAGTTGTTGCTGTACGGTATGCAAGTTCTCACACTGGTAGTCTAACCTTGGGCTTGCTCGTATGTGATTTTTTTCTTCTTTTCTTCTACTCTAGTAATTGCTGGCATCTCTGGACTGTGCTTCAGCAGTGCTCGAGTGCTTCAAGGCTTAAAGGATAAGGTTGAGGCAATTATCGTAGGGGATGGCTGTGTCGGGGAGTAAGATCGGGAAGGTCACGTCATAATATATTAAATTTACCCAATGACGATGGCGCTAACGGTGGTGATGGCTGTGATGATGATGACGATGATGGGCCGGGAAGGAGGGAAAGGGGCCGAGCACTGTATATTAGGAGAGGTGGTGGTCCCGGCCCCCCGTTGCACACGTCCACACTTGCTTCTGGCTTCAAGGCTGCGTTGCATGCGAGACAAACCATCCCAACGGGTTTAAAAGAAAGAAAAAAAACCACACCGGTAAGGTAAGGAAAAGAAGAAGAAAATGTGTTTCGGACACCCTCCTAGAAAGTCCTCTTCGACCTCCAACAACAACAACAACAACGCACGACGCCGGCACGCCGTCTCTTCTCCGGTCTCACGAGCGCATGACCCGCACAACCCGATGACGCCGTCCGGCACCGTCGGCCAAACCTGGGACAAACCCCCCGCCACACCGGAGCCGAGCATGAGCGACTCCCAAACCCCGGCGGAGCCTCCACCACCCTTCACCGCCTGCGCCGAGGAACCCGATCCCCCACCGCCACCCGTCATAAGTCACGACACGAGCCCGACCTCAAACGCCCATACCAACCTCGCGGACTCGGGCTACACCTTCTGCAGACAGAACCCGCTCGTGCCTCCGCAGCAACTGACCACTGTCTCGCTCCGTGAAATCTCCCGGGGCGCCCTGACCCTCATCATACCCCCCTACAACACCTACAGGAACCACCTGGAGGTGAGCCAGAACCCCAAAACCTCTCTACCCATCGTATCCAGCACCCCAAACTGCCCGGATACCACCCTTCTCTCCTCCCGCCCGCTGTACGCCGCGGGCTACCACCACCCGGCAAACACTCACCTCCCCAAACGCATATACTTTGAGATCCGCATACTCAGCCTCCCGCCGCGGGTCCAGGATGCGGCCGTGGCGATCGGCTTCGCCGTCAAGCCGTACCCGCACTTCCGCCTGCCGGGCTGGCACAGGGGGAGCATAGGCGTGCATGGGGATGACGGACGGAGGTATTGCGACGACTCGTATGGCGGGAACGATTTCGTCGAGGGGGGGTGGGCGGTCGGGGAGAGGGTGGGCATCGGTATGAGTTTTGGCACCGGGCCCGTGGGCACGAGAGGGGGAGAAGTTTGGTTTACCAGGAATGAGGAGAGGGCTGGTGGCTGGTGGCTTGATGAGGAGGTTGATTCCGCCAGGGATCGGGATCCCACATTCGGATTGGATGGGGGGTGGGATGTCTATGCTGCCTTGGGTATCTGGGGTGGGGGGGTTCAGGTGGAGGTTTTGAAGTTTGAGAGTGCTTGAACGTGCAGTACTACTGGCACAGCGGTTTGCTGGGATTGGGGCTTTTTCCATGTATTTATGCTATGAACGCTATATGGTATTGAGGAGTTTGGTTAGATGCCTTATGTCAAGATATGATAATACCGTAGCTCGATTGAATGCTATGCATGACATGACATTTGCGATTTAGCCACACAAAAAAAAAAGAAAAGAAAAGTGAGCCGAGAGCCAAGAAAATGCCAAACGAAAACAAAAACTAAAAAAATACAGTAACTCCCCCCACAGAAATACGCCTAAAAAGGCCAAACTCAATTGATCCCACATCTACTGCTGATTCTGCTGTCTCTGCACAAGAGTCTGCACCAGTCTAACAGGGGTAATGATAAAGTCCAACTCGAGATCGATGCTCTCGTTGACCGTATCCTTCTGGATGAGGCCGCTCTTCGCCCGTATTGCGTGATCCATGACCGTAATCGGACCGTATAGCGTGAATCCCGCAAACGCACCGAGCCCGCCACACATCCAGAAACTCTCCGTCGCCAGCAGGGCCCGAGATCCGAGGGGTAGGACTATGGGCCCGAGGCCCGAGAGCGCCAGCATGGCCGCTAAGGCGAGGGACGGGCCGCCGAAGTAGAGGTAGTCGCCCTCAATGGCCGTCGCACCGGCGAGCGCCACCGAGCCCATTATGCCGGCGGCGTACACGCCCACGCGGGAGAGGAGGGCCGGGTTGTAGAAGAAGAGTGGGGCGAGGACTGCGCCGCTGGTGAGGTTGAAGGCGGACCAGAGGAGGTGTTTTTGGATGTAGCTTGCCTTGTTAACGGTGAAGGAGAGGGACGGGGGAAGGGGAGAAATTACTTGTCTGGATCGGTAATTTTAGTAGCGTACATTGTCCCCGCCGCCGCGACAAGGCTACCGCCGAGGACGAGCCACGGGTTCTTGCTCATGAGCTTATAACTCCACCCCATGTTGTGCAGACCCTTCGCTGCTAGGCCCACCATACCGACTCCGAGACCCGTGTACGTGAATGTTTCATGGACGTAGGCACGTTCGTACGGTGGAATGCCGCCCTCACGAGGTTCAAGGTTGTATAAAATATTAGTAAAGAAGATAGCGCTGCCGAAGAGTAAGCCAGCATACAGGAGGTCTCGATTCTTCTCCTTCCCGGTTGGGCGAGAAAGGATATCTGGATCTGTCGTGTAGAAACGCTTGGTGGCGAATTGGGCTTTTGTGGCTTGTTGGTGGCGGACGGGAGTGATTGCTTGTCGGAGGACTGGCGGACGGAGGGTTGCGAAGGTGCGAGTGAACGGTTTCACCGAATAAAGGAAGGGAGCCCTCCCCGCAACGGGGCGGATTGTGCTTTGAAGAAACATTGCTGCTTGCTGTTTGTGGTGGGTTGATGATGGGTGGGCGGAATGAGTGGAATGATGGATTTGGTGGGGGGCTTTGGTGTGTTTTTATAGTGATGTCTTGATGGCAGAGTACGTGAATCACGGGGCGTAAACCTATTCTATATAAAGTGTGTTTGTCAAGGTCGAGACGATTTCCCATTAGCTCTACGAATATCCGAATCTGATGGAATAGCGAGGAGCCAGCACCGCCCAGTAAAGCTACAAACCCCTCAGGCTTACCTTTTTCAGGAACTCAATAAAATACAAGTCACGCTTCATCACTCGAATCACTTGAATCCATCCCATAAATACTTAATGTGTATATTAGGAAACCTTCTCCTATTCTCCTTCTCCCCCTCCATCTGTAAATAGAAAAATGTACTTCTATTCTCCCTATCCTCCTTTACATCAAACAGCAACTCCCTTCTGGAGCGGGAAGATGTTTTGCCCCGTAGGAGTCACCGCTCTCCCGCAAATCAATTATTCACGTTGCCGATTCGCAAACCAAATTCTAAACTGATCCCGTAAATCAGCAAGTATGTCAACACAAAGGGTATGAAATAGGACTTACCCGGACAAACAAGCTCGGCTGCAAGTGCAACTGCGAGAGAGGCCAGCCTCCTCAGTGTCGTTTTTCTATTTTCAAAGTGGAGCTTAGTTGGCGAGCGATATGAATGAAGGAAATGAATATTCAGAGGATACTTACTCGACTGATTGGAAATGCTTTGTCGAAAAATATTTCGGGACTATATCATAGAACAAACAACCCTAAACCCAAAAGTTAATCCGAGTTTACCTTCCAGTCCGAGCGGAGTCAACAGACACCTTCCGTCAATCAAATACGAGGTTCTCCCAACTTGTTATTCCGGTTAGTACGGGATGGAGTTGGGTCAGGGTTCCGAGAACTTACCGACCGATTGCCTGTAGGTGACCAAGGGCAATGCTGCATTTGGTTAATTAAATAAACCCAGGACGGTAGGGGATAACTTACAAATGCCTGATCTCGAAATGTATTGACCCTATATATCATCCGTAAGTTATCGGTGGGACAGCGTAATAAAGAAGAGAAGACTTACCATACCCACATTGGCGGGAAGGCATAACTTCGGCCACATATGGCGAGCCGACTGAGTAGTAAGCTGTGGGTGGTTAACTCACGAGGAACAAACAAGATTAAATAGGGGGTACTTACTAGATAGATAAGTGAAATGTATCATAAAATTAAATGTAGAACCGTTGTGAACCGCCCACAATCCTTTGGGAATGTCCCGTATCGTTTAAACCTTAACCATAATAAGCCTTGGGAGTCAAGCGTGAGGAAACGGATCATGTACCTGACGAAGAGAAATATGATCGCCAAAAAACATCTCTGTGCACGGTTAGCAATCATGTGGATAGAGAAGAAATAAAGAAACACAGCCTCGAACCTCAAATATATACCTTGAAGTGAAGGCACGGAATGAGCCCCTCCTGTTTCCCGTCATTACAAATAATAATAATAAAGTAAAAGTAACGACATGAAGGAACTAGGATATGGAGGGGAGGGAGGGGGGGGAGAGGAAACAAAATCGCTGTCCGCAGTTAGCAATCAAGGAAGAAAAAGAGAAGAAGAAGAAACAAACTCCAAGCTCCAAACAATTGCGGTGAAGGGAATTCAGAGAACGACCTCCCTCCTCCGATTTCCTATTATGAGTATAAGTGGCGGTGATCAAGTTGAAGCAATGGCATGAAGGAGCCAAGATCTGAGGGGAGGAGGAGTACGAGTGACAAATGGAGCATACTAAGTTCCATTCGGTTGCCGGCTCTCAAAGGTTATTGTAGAAAATGCCCTTATTATAGGAAATGTACCGAGCAGAGGTGCTCTTGGGTGTGACGAAGAGGGAGAGGAGAGACGACGAAGGGAGGGAAGAGGGGGGTATTTATGGAAGTTTTTTTTGCGGGCCAGGACCCCTCCCCAAGAGGGGGGGTGACTGATATGCCCACGCGGCAGTTTCCGGGGGGGGGGGTAGGGGGGTGAAGGCTACGTAGACGGGCTATAGCTGGCTGAGGAGGGGCCAAATTGAACAGGGGGGATGAGATATCCCGGCCAGAGCTCCAGCATACTGCCCCTGCTCCTGAGAGAGAGGACTGTGGACGTGTTAAGATTTGTGGGTTTTCTTTCCCATTCTAAAGGGGGGTAGAGCTGAGCAGGGGGGCGGGGATGGAATATGCTCACCAGGAGGGAATCTGAGCACGAATGCAGGGAGGGCGGGGATGGGGGATTCTGAGTAGAATCGGGATCCCTTCTACAGCCAAAATCATCAAACTCACTTGCGGATAGAACTATAGATGGAACATAAAAGCAAGAGATTTGGAGACATTTTAAAAGTAGTTCAACACCCTTCTTGTGCGTTGGACAAGCAGTCATAGCACCAGAATCCAGTTTACAAAAGCATCAAGTGCGGTAAGCGGACTTCCTCTCATTTCACCACCACCACCACATTACAAGTTTCTAACTAAGTTTCAAGACCCTAATATCCCCCAGATTATCCAAAGGCACTTCCAGTCTCTGCCTTCTCAGCAGCCATTCTGCATTTCTGATTTTCGGCCGTCGAATCTGTAGGCGGGTTAGGCGGGGGCATCACTCAAGATCACTCGGCACTGCAAAATCACCAAAAAAAGGGCCACTCACTTTTTCAACTTTTCTGGAAATATTAATATGGTCCCTCCTCTTTCTGAGCTCTTTTAGAGTAATTGGGTGTACTTTTCCTCCCGTTTACGCTAATAGGTGACCTACCGGTCAGAAACATATGTGTGGTTTGGGGCGGGGATGCCGCGGCGATAAGGGCAGCTGCGGCGGCTAGCTAGGTCCCGGGAGGAAAGTGTATGATAGTCACAGTATAGACAAGCAACCCCCAGGCACCCTCTAGCATACACTCTATTAAATAAGGCGGGGGGAAATAACTGAGGGAAAACTCCTATCATACTAATAAAATTAGGGAGTGGTCGAGTGACCTTAGATGAAAACAGGGTAACACGAACTTTCACCTAACCTCGAAATTTCTTACAGTAAACAAGGATGACGGGGCAAGCCACCATCTATCCTTGTTTCTTTCCTTACAGATTACCAGCCATATCATACAACCACCACAACTGCGACGCAACCATAGCAATCAAACCCCAGCCCCCCCACTACCTCTCTCCACCCCACTAAACAAAGTCACAACTGCCGAAAGAAAAAAAGTCCATGGACCCTCCTCTTCACACAACACCAACCCCCCTCCCCCTCTCGACAAAGCTCCCCCTAACCCTTCTGCCGTCCCTAATGCTAGGTACCACTCTCGGCATGGCCCTCGGCGCGAAACGCTCAGCACTGGTATTCCGCGCCGAGAACGCGCACCGGATCCCGCGGACCACACGGGGCTGGTACTTCTACCACAAGAGCAAGAACTACTACACGATGCTGGGCGCTGCGCGGGAGGGCATGCGCAGTGGTATGCGGGTTGCGGGGTGGGTTGGCGGGTTCGTTCTTGCCGGCGGAGTCGTTGGTGAGGTGCTGGGGCCACTGGGGGGAGGTGTGGTGGCTGGGTTGAGTGTTGCTGGGGTATTCAGTTGGATCAGTAAGTCCTGTTCCGGAAAGAGGGAAGGGGGGGGGGACGAAAGCTAATAGGGGGATAAGATAGGTTTTCTTATGGGATGGCGGTAACGACGGCTAAGCGAGGGCTTTTCTTTGGATTGTTGTTTGGGGCTGGGGAGGAGGCTGTTGGTTATATTGGCAGGAAGAAGAGGGAGATTGAGGAGCAGAGGGGGTCGGAGGGGACTACTAGGTGAGAGGTTTTAGGTGAGTTTGGGATGGTTGGGTTTTCTGTATAAATTATATCACATCACCAAGTTTCTGTAACATAGGCGTTTCGGACATGGCATTATTATAAACCTCTTCTATGCTGCTACTTTTTCCTCCCATTTCCCCTTCTCGTCCCCCCCTCCCGTCTCCTCTTCCTCCGTATCACTTTCATCAAGGTCGTGCAGTGGGAAGGTTAAGATGGCAGCTATCCCACCAAGCCCGTCGAGTCTTACCCCACTCTCATGAATACTGCTCAATACCAACGACGTACCCCCGCCCTTTCTGACCTCCTCCACCATCCGCACATACTTCCTCCTTTCGGCGACATTGTTACTTCTAAACAGACTATTGCTAACCAGAAGCGTTCCTACAGCACCTTTATCCACTGCTCTCTCGACCTCCTTCGGTCCATACCATGCTCGAAACTCGTCTTTCTCCATCATCTCGAAGAAATTTTCCATCGCCTTCGTCTCTTTGGCAAATTTGGTATCTGCTAGTGTCGCGGCGACTTCCGGCGACTTTAGTACCTCATTGAGGGAGTGGATATGGCCTGTTGAGCAGTGGACCGTGACGAATTTCTTTTTTGAATGGAGGATGGGTTTGTAGTCGGTTTGCAGGGCGGTTAGGAATATGTAGTCTTTTAGCCCGTCGGCAACAAACCCCGGGGAGGCGAGGAGGATGACCTTTAGGGCGCTGAAGTCGAAATGTCGGGTGATGGATTGGTAGACTATGTCGTAGAATTTTTGGAGGCCCTGGTCGCGCTTAGCAAGGAGACACATGATGGGGAGGGTAAAAATCACTTTCTCATAACTAGTCGTTGACCCAACCCTCTTCCTTGGAACCGGAACCTCAATCCTCTGCCGCAGAACGGTCATATACTCCGTAATAAAGCAAACATTTGCAAAGCCTATTCCCCCCCAAATCAGCCAACCATAGCTCCCCTCCCTCCCCTACAAACAAACCTTCCTGCAAAACCACAGCTCCAATCTCTGCCCTTTCCCCGGCATCACAAGCCTCCTTGACAACCCCCAGCGTAACAGAGTCCCACTCGCTTTTAATAAGAGTAAAATTCCGGTGTAGCTCCAAGTCCAGGGTGTGAAACGCGCCAACGCTAACAATCTTATTCTCCTCCGTCACCTGCCCGTTGATATGTAACTGCCCGGCCTGTGCATCGAAGTCGATTTTCCGTACGGATACGGTAAGGGTCGTGTGCACGCGTTGGCTATTTGTCGAACCGGTGCGGGACTCGGTGGTTACCCGGCGGACGGCGGGGGCTCTCACGATATCGTTTGGGCGGATGAGGTTGAAGGCGTGCCACTGTTTTTCGTTAGCTCTCTTCAGTGAAGCTAGGGACGGGGGGAGGGAGTAGCACCATATCCTCAGGCTCCTCGGGGTAGAGAGTTACTAAGCCGGACATGTCGCGCTCTATTGATTTTTTTATTAACCGCATAGTGATTGGTTGGTATTCTGTGAGGTTCTGGGATGAGGGTGAGACGGGAATTGAGATGAGGGTGAGAGATGGCGGGGTAGGATGACCCTGTGGAGTGATGACAAGATAAGTTATGATAAGATAAGATAAGCCTCAGGGGGTTCAAGGTCTTGGCGTGGTACAGCCTACAGAGCAGACTATTGAGATTTTGGGCACAGGATCCGGATGGCAGCTCTTCCTCACGCGACATAAATTAAGTAACACGCCGAGTAAACGACCCAAGTCTCCACGATACGGTACTCCCACATAGCCATTGCGCCCCTTTGAAACCCTAAAAATTACTGCCACGCTCGGAGACTAGCAAGAATTAGTTCTCCCGAGATCGGCAAGTTTTGAGAGAGAGGCCGCCGACATGAATACACCGACCCAATTCCTACCCTAACCCATTTTACCAGTAGAGGAATGTCGGATATGCCCATGTCCGCACTGCCCTCTGGGGCCGTTCCCCACTCCGCAGTAGTGCCCTCCGTATCCGACTGCGGCTCCCCAGAACAACCTCGGTTGTCGCATGTGCAATGAGCCCCGCCAACTCCTAATCGTGCAAAGTGCTAACCGTGCCAAGGTTCCTGCTCGATTATGTAAACAGCGAGCTTTTCCAAATCTCGCAGCCCGCCTACGGCGTGCCTAACAGCTCAACGTCACACAACAGCTCAACATCACATTTCCACCGTAAACAGTCTGAAAATCTAAATACATCAACCAACCCTTCTCCGGTTCCTCAAATGAAGTTCCCGGTTTCTTACATGCTGTTTGAAGTCTTTAAAAATAGGTTTCCATTTTCGTTTTCTGTCTCTTAGTGCTGCAATTCGGAGATGCTCAAGCTCTCGCTGCGCCTTTTCTACCTTTTGTAGTGCATCATCTTCCACCTTTTTCTGCACTGCAGATCTTGCCTGATGCGCATAGATTACGCCGCCCTTTTGAACAGCTCTGCGAGTCCTATTTCGCCGGTTTGCACGGGCAGCTTCTGCCACTTAGGTATGTTCCAGCTCTTCATATGCATGGGCACCTGCATTGGCCTGTGCTAGGCTACCTTTGATAAATAAATTAAGGCATGGGGTAAAAGAAGGAGATAAGGGATTGCTATCTTGAAGGAAAGTCGCATGTCGCTTGAGTGATCTGATTGTTGTAGGAGTAGAAATAGGAGGTTGTAATTGTGCAGACAGAGGAGGAGTTGTTGGTATGGCAGGCGCGGGGACCGGGTCAATATCAATCTCTTGAAGGCGACTGACAACAACATCCGGCTTGAAAGGAATAAGACCTGTTTTGCGAAAGGCTGAGACGATAGTAGAAGGCTTAAAGGCTTGAGTTCGAATCTCCGAGATCGCAGTTAAAAATTCAAGCTTATTGAAATCCGTACAACCCGTTCGTGTCGCTTTGTCAATTGCCTCCGCATGGAAGTGCTTTAGAGGCTGGAAAATGACCACATCGAGTGGTTGAAGCAAGTGAGTTGTATGAGGTGGAAGGCAAAAGGGTATTATCTTATACTCGTCACAGTATTCAATAAACTCTTTGGTGCAATGTGAGCCGTATCCATCTAGTAGTAGTAGTCGATGAAGTCCAACCTGTCGACGAGCCGAGAATTTTTTGAAGTGACACAGCCATTCAAGTGACAAGCCATCATTAGAATAACCAGTTTCTGATACTCCAACTAATACATCGTCCTCAAGGTCTGTTTTCGTATACCAATCCTCAAGATGGAGAGTTGCTGGTAGGATAAGTAGTGGTGGCAGTACATATCCATCGCCGCTTATCGTTTCACAAGAGGTAACTAGTTCACGATTACTAGTACTAGCGAAATAGGATGGCCGATCAGGATCCATCGTCACAATCCATTGGTCCCTTCCTACACCGATTCGAAACCCGGTCTCGTCGAAGTTGTACTGATCACCCGGCTGGATCCCATGCTCATCACAAATTGCTTTATATCGTTGAAACCAGTTCAAAATATCAGCTGGGTCATGCGCTGCTTTACGATTCTGATCAAGAGTTTTTTGCTTTCGAATCGAGAACTGTGGATGGCATGCAAGAAAGCGTGCTGTCCATGTTCCACCAACAACAGGGACAGGTGATTCGGAGGTGGCATCGACATCCGAGTCGCATACTGAGTCGATCCGGTTTCTGCGAAGGATTGCATTTGCGCAACCTGTCACCATTGCGAACCGAGCTGAGGTTCCAATTTGATCAAGCCTCTTAAGATACATGCATACTGCTGATTCCTCAGCTTCAGTAAGCCTTCGGTTCGGTGGAGTTCGCTGTTTTCGTGACTTTCGTCCTTTCCACCGTTCACGTAAACGGCTTTCTGGCACATCAAACTGATGCGCTGTGGATCAGATATTGGGTATGTCATCTTCACTCAAGGAGGCTAAAGCTTCCTGGATACGAGCCTCAATTTCCGCATAATTTTCACCCATTCTGATGCCTTTGTGGTGGGTGTCAAGGTATCGTTATCGTAATATGCAGGCGAATGTGACGTTGAGCTGTTGTGTGACGTTGAGCTGTTAGGCACGCCGTAGGCGGGCTGCGAGATTTGGAAAAGCTCGCTGTTTACATAATTGAGCAGGAACCTTGGCACGGTTAAAAGGCAGGTCCTCTGGTGAAATGGCAATTCCGTTGTAACCAATCGGGTTTGGGCCAACAATTGCCAAGACATGATGAGTAAGATGAAATAACATGTTAAGGGAAATGGGTAGAATAGAGGATTAACCAGAATTAGAATTTTTTATGCCTGTCATACTAATCACTGATTATTTCTATGTCTCAGTCATTTATACTCTACAGTATTTTTCAGTCTGTCAGTAGGTAGATTCTATCACTTGTTTCACTCTCACCAAAA